CAGGTGGTAATTAAGTTTTAATAATCATAATTAATAAAAATTTAATTACAATATATAATTTCTCCCAACCCACCACTCTCTCTCCAGAACCATCCCAACCCGTCGCCTCTCTCTCTCTCTACATTTCTACTGGCCGTCGCCGTCTTGAGAATCACCGGCAAATCGCCCGTCGCCGTTCCATTGCACAGCTTTATCGCTTCGTTCGCCGTCGTCTCCCAGCCCCATCACCCCAGCCGTCAGCGTTGGTACTGTTCGGAGATGGCGACGCTGTGAATGGTGGCGGTGGTTGGTGCTACAGGTGGTGGTGGATCTGCAGCAAAGTCGATCCAGTCGTCGATGCGCTCCACTACCCACCGGCAACCGCGAGAGTCGTTTGCAGCCACGAAGTGAATGTTGTCGCCGGTGCGATCTGAGCGTTGATGTTCTTTTTAACGTCGTTGCAGCAGCTGCTCGTCATCATCGCTGTGGGTGGTTTGCTGGTGGTTGGTGGTGTCGTTTGAGATGGTTTTTGGGAGTTGGTGGTGTTGTTTGCAATGGTTTTTGGGCGATGGTGGTGGTGGAAAATGAGGTATATTGTGGGTAGTTTGTTGGTGGTTGGTTTTCTGATCAGATCTACTGCTTAGCCGGAGTTTTGGGGGTGGTGGTGTAGGTGCAAATGGTGATGGCGATGGTGGTGTTTTGTGCAGATGGTTGTTGTGGTGTGGCGAACCTTTTCTAATCTTTGACCAGATCCCGATTTGACTAAATGAAATTTTTGTTCAGCTAGTTAGTACTAGATATAGGAGACTACAATTTTAACAACTTTCGACTTCATTTTGATGTGGTTTTTTTATCCAATTCGATGTGCAGATTGTTTTGTTTTTTGCCCATGTTTTGTTTGTTTAAATAAGCTCATCCAGTTCCAGGAAATAGCATCCGGTGACCGTTTGTGACTGGTTAATTGTGNTTTTTGCCCATGTTTTGTTTGTTTAAATAAGCTCATCCACTTCCAGGAAATAGCATCCAGTGACCGTTTGTGACTGGTTAATTGTGACTCGTTGTGACTTGAAATTTTGGAAATTTTTTGGAAGTTGGGAATGGGTGGGTAGGTTGATCGGAGCATGCGTTGAAGTGATCATTGGAGCAGTTTTCTAGAGGGATCATGAATAGCCGCCGGAGAAAGCGTCGAGGTGATATTCGGAATAGTCGCCGGAGTGCTGTCGGAACTATCACCGGAGCGACCGTCGGAACTATCGCCGGAGTAGATGGCCGCCTCCGATGGAGAGAAGGGGTAGGGAGAGAATAGAGAGTAGAGAGAGAGAATGATTTGGATTTGAAATTTAATAAATTGAGGTAATTGTATTATATTATAATTAAAAATATTTAATTAATTGACTTAACACCTGATTTTTTAAAAGATTTTTGAAGTTTGTTATTTTTTAAATGTAATTTTTATATATAAGATTTATGTATTGTTCCCATTTATAAATAGGGTCTA